CCAAGGTGAAACTTTGGATTCCTGCTTTAAAAGAGAAAACGGTGCCCTTTACCAGACTTTGCATACTCCGGAATCAACTGGCCAACCTGACCCGGCCACTGAGGGTATTACCGCGCCAGAGGCCGGCGGAGCCCCTGTAAACTTGAATCAGATTTTCGGTAACACGGATAACATATAGACCTTTGAGAGCCCGAGCCCATAGCCAAAAAAATACTTGCGAACCACGAATGCAGTTTGATCCTTTAGGTTGCCATCTGTTGCGTTTCCCAAAAGCCTTCGGAGAGGTCACTCCGCTGTTTTTGGGCTGACCCTGCCGGAATTGTTTGAATAACAAGCCGATGTCCGCATCATTCAAACCGTGGCTAGCATTTATTACTACTCTCAAATGAAAGTCAGCCTATGCGTGGCTGCTTGCCTGCCTGCCTGCTTGCCTATTAGCCGTTCTGCTTGCTTGCCTGTTTACATTACCCTTGTGCTTACGTATTTCCTTTGTTTGCTTGCCTAGCTCTTTTCTTCCTATATAATACGGGGCTATAGAAACTAAAAGCAACCATTCTAGGATTAATTACGGTAATTAACGTTAATAAGCGGTAATAGCCTTAAAATTAATAGGTTGAAGGTTTCCATAATAATATTTCTATTATTTTATAGTTTCTATTATTACCAAATTAATATCTTATATGTCTATTATTTTACTAAATCATAATTATTTCCTAATTAATCTATTTATAATATTATACCTTAGTAGTTGTTGTTGTTTTTTTTTTTTTTTTTAATCATTTTAAGGTCAAATATTACCGAGAATGCCGGCGATATTAGCTCTTTGCCCCATAAAATGCCACAAATACCATCGAACCATCCTATATTATATGTAAGGTTGATGTTCTGTTTGTTTCGTTTTTGTTGTGGCTAACTCGTATGCTGCGCAGTCCTTGTTTTTTTCCACTTGGTTTTTGGGCCTTATGGCGTGCGCGCCCCCGGCCACAAAACGCTGCTATTTACAGTACTTTCTTGTGTTTGCGTTTCCGGGCTGGCTTGCGAACTGATTTAACTCGGTTGGGGCTTTCCTGGGGCTCAGAAAACCGGCATTCCCGGCACCATCTGGGATACGTTGATGGCTGGAGTAGGCAAAATGCATATTCTAACCAAGCACGTCATAGCAGATCATAGCGTGACATGACATGGTAGATGCTATGGCTGGAGTGCGCAACATGCATAACCTAACAAGACATATCATAGCACAGGATATGTTTCACACACAATAAAATGACATGACATGGTATAAAATGACATGACATGATATAACAAAGCGGCGTAGCCGGCTAGAGGCCGCAGGCCCAAAAGATTATTCCGTGATTTGCTTTTCTACGTTCAAACACGCACCCGCAAATCCATGATCTGGCTCATGACCTGTCGCAAGGGGCGATCTGTTGCACTTCATGCAAACAAAATGACATCACGGGGTGCTGTGAACACTTGCATGATCCATGTCTGATGTCTGCACCATGCTGCGAGCCTGTTGCCAAGTGGGACGTACCCAGGCCTGCGTGGAGCAAGCGCCAAGTTTGGCTCGGCCATTTTTGCCGGTATCGTTTCAAAAGGAGCAACACAAGTTGACAAGCGCTGAGCGCCAGGAACCCAAACAATCCAAAGGTCCTGGAGCAGCACCAGACCCTAGCAATATTACTAAGATTGATGCCACTCCCTTGGCCCGATCAGGTCGGATACGGAACAAATATGGTTCGATTCTCAGATCTCATCATTTTGACAAACACTACCTTGCCTGCCCGCGGCAGCAGTTGCTGGCAATTGCTTCAAAGCCATCCTGTCAAGTCACAGGAACGTCCAAAGTGTGCTGAGTGGAATTTTAGCATAGGGCCTCTACGTGCTGGACTTGGACATTTTACACACCAGTCTAACCAGAACGATGGATGCGATGCCAAGCACTGATGCAGTCAGTGGCTGACGAAAATATGGCTCGGCGCACGCGCTGGGCGGCCCTCAGATTTTCGTCCAGACCGGAGCGCGCCGCCATCTCCTGGCCAAATTGGTAATTGCTAAGAGCAGTTTTGAGATCTAGAGCTTGATGGTCGAAGCTGAAATTTCGACGGCAAGGACGGGAGTTCGCCAGTGTATGTCGAAAGGGAGCACGTCAAGCACGTCAAGAACATCAAGCAGGTGCCATGGCTCCTATTGAATTCCGCTGCGACCCTGATTAGAGCTTAATTACCTGGCCATGAGAAACAAAATCAAAAATGAATCGGTGATACCGCTGCCAAAGCGTGTTGCCTCTCACAAGTACAGGCCGAAAGACAGCATCTTTGTTGGACTAATGTCAATGTCCTGCTTCTGAAAAACAAGTTGACAAGGTTGTAAAATACGCTCCCTTGAAGGCCGTCCCTCTTGATTGAAGCACAAGTAAGTCGGTGACCAAACGGTCACTTGTTGCGGACGCATGAGCCAACCACCGCGACCAAAAAGGCTGAAAGGTGAAAGGTCCAGTATTAAATACCAGTATGCCCAATATGTCAAGCGCTTGCAGCCTTCACAATCTTCCCGAAGGCATAGGTGTCCATGTATCTTGTTGGCCTGCCACCATCCAGGGACTCCGAACATGACACAGGCCGTGCTGATGGGGGATAGGCCCAAAATTGGAAAGGAAAGGTATTGACAGCTAGGTGGTCTTGCCGATGTCTGAGACATCCATTCCCCCTGTTCTGCTTGCCCCGACTTAGGCATTGGCGTCATTTGCAAATCGGCTCGAGCTTCCGGCGCCACCTTGGCTCAATGCAGCTGAACCACTGCGTTGGCTGGGTAGGCGCGAGGCATATTTTCCATTCTTTGCGCGGAAGTCTGCCAAGCCGTCCTCGTCCTGCAACGGCTATGTTTCATTGTAATTCTATGTTGCGATAGCTTCATTCGGCTCAGCTGTGTACGTGGCCTCCAGCATGACAGAGCCGTAGTCAATCAGCTTCACCCAGATCTGACGCCCCAACATGATCGTGGACCTAGAGAGCTCGCACTTTTCTCTGCCAGTCCCGCAACATCGCGGAAGTTGTTTTGGGATATGACAGCATAACAACTAGTTGGGTCAAACCCTGTTTTCTTCACATGTTAACAGCGGCAAGCAGCATTCTCCAATCAACCTGAAGCTCAAGCAGCCCAAGTCCACGGGGCCAACACGCAGTGCTCAGTCAAAGCTGAAAACAATGCGCAGTTGCGGCAGACTCTGAGACTCTTGGGAAGGCACGGCGTCAGCCTACCGTGAAATACCCAGTTCTTGTGCAGGTAATCCATGACCTTGGGCTGTGTAATTACAGGTCCAACATCCAGCCCAATCAAACAGTGCTGTCATGGCTCAGGAATGAAAAGCGCTTTGGAACAGTTCTCATGCAAATTGCCGTGCGCCAAATGGCCTATGGGTAAAAAATGCGTACCCAAAATGGAACCCTGAAACCTGTGGTCCCCTGGTGGTTTTTTTTGACCCGTACCCAAATGTCCTCTGGCCTGTTGCACAGCCAAATGCAGCTGGCTAAGTCCCTTGCTGGAACCTTGGATGCCCAAAATCATGCAGTGCCAAGGGGACTACGCTGCAATTCTGACATCCTCGTTGACAAGGTTCGCCAAGACACCAGGGACTCGGTGACCTTTTTCAAGTACAATGGCTGCCATGGTGGCACCTGACAAGCAACATTGGCATTGACTCATTACGTCGGCAGCAATTCACATCTCATACGTATCAGGCAAGGAAGGTTACACGCCTGCTAGTGTCAAGAATGAGCAACATAGTTTTTAGAGAGGAGACTGTCTATCCTCAGTCACTGAAAAAAAGACGACGAAGCTACTTTCCTCAGCACGCCCGCGCTTGTCCATAATGATAACATGCTCTCGTGCTCTGCTCATTCATCTAGCTCGCCGTGCAGGTCGCACCTCAGCCTCTTGCCACCGCTGCCTGAGCACGTTTGCAGCAAGCTGACGGTATTGATTGGAGTGGCCAGCAGTATCGCAACATTTTGGGGAGACTGGCGAGGGACAGGCTTCCAGTGCACCGATTTGTGGAAGGCAGTCTCAAACACAATGCACGAGCATACTTCATTGGCTTGCAAATATTCTGCCACATCCAATCTCTTAAATCCCGGCCCCGGCCCCCCCTCGGAACAAATATGTTTGTGTGGGAATCACATGCATGGACACCCCCTTTGTCGGGCACAAAAACCGTCGAAATTGTGATCTGCTGAGCCAGGAGATTGAGTGGAATAATTCAAAGCACTTTTGTGGAGTTATCAACAAATGACAGTTCAAAGCAAAATTGAAGTCACAGTTTAAGCATGACAACTTGATTGCTTCTTCTCTTCTGGTGGGCAGCGGGTGAACAAGGGAAGTGCAGAAAGTAACCCCTCAATAAGGGCTGTCCGGAGCTTAATATTGGTTTAGTATTGGGTCAATTGACAGCAACGTCGGTTTTAAGATTTAAGACCTTCACTGCAAGCAGCGCTGGCAGCAGCTGTTCGGCATGGTGACCATTTTCGGAATCTTCATTTGGTGTCCACATATGCCCTTGCCACATAGAGCGGATCTTCAGCGCTCTTCTGTACAAACACGCCTTGACTGAATTCATCACGTGGATATCACACGACAAGTTGCTCCAGCATGTGGTCAACTACAGGCACTAATTAGGAGCTGAACATGGCCACCCCTGGTTTAAGTAGATACCAAACAAACACCCACAGAACAAACGAAGGCCCCGAAAAAGCAGCTCCATCCGCGCGAAAGCGGCTTGGCTCTGCGGCCTGAGGCTTTGCCAAGACTCCTGGGTCCAAAGATTGCTGAAGTATGAAATACCCCAGGGCTTTACCGGGAGTCCAAGGAGGATGCAGCGATCCTCGTAACACATGCACTGGCATGCAATGCAGCAGCAGCCTTGTCATTTCAGCAAACACCCAAGCAGAAGACATGTCTAGGGTGGGGATGAGCCAATACCACATTTCTCTACAAACAATGTACCAGCTACGCAGGCTGCATGCAATGTCTGTGTCATGTCTTGGCGTTTCCTTTGGAAACACATGCATAGAGCCAATCTATGTCTGAGGCAATACTGGCATAGCAGGCCGTCTCAAGTCAAGTCAACAATGTGCTTGATTCGAGCAGCCAACAAAGAGCAAATTCTCTGAGTCTCGAGGCAATCCTATGCTACAAAGGCTCTCACTTGGTGCTTTCCTCTTGCAAAGTTGCCAAAATTGGAGCCACGTCCAACTCAAACCAATCCGCGACAATTTGCTGATACTGGATCGAGTTGACTCCCATGCTGTTCCCCATTTGGTCAGCTCGACTTGGACTGGTGTCCTCCAGCGCTAAGGGCGGTTGGACGTCTGATCTGGGTGAAGTCATCAACAAATCCCTTGTATCTGATGTAGCTCCGGCCGAGCGGACACCTACGGTGCAATACACAGAATGGCTGAATGTTGCAACTGTTGCATGGGACCTGGCTGGTACATCCAACTTGTTGCTCAAAGGGCACGTATAAGAGAAAACGCCTCTCAAGGTAAGCCGTCATAGCCAAGTTCAATTGGGATCTCTTGCAGGCGACTAAACATCCGACTCATGCCGTGCAAGAGCTTTGGAGAAGACCAAGTTTATCTTGGCAGGCAATGACATGTGCATAAGTCGCTTCGAGGACTTAGTTCGTGCACGCGCGAACCATCCCCTTCCCCCAATCATAAAGATTCCCCCCCAACAAAAACAAGACTGTCGCCACACCCAGTCAAATTGAATCTCTCTCTATCTCTTTGTTGCTGTGTTTCTCTCTCTCTCTCTGTCGTCTCCAGGCTGCTTCCCTTTCCTGCAAACAACGAAACAAGTGATCCAGAAAGCCACGCAAGTATGCAGCGCACAGCCCATAACAGCGTTAAAGTGGTGACAATTCTTCTCTTACATATTGTCATCCAGGAGCTCTTGTTTGCTTTCCGTGCCCCCGCTGCCTACTCGGGAAAGTGATCCCATAAAAAGCACTGCCAAATCAAAGTCAAACCTGAAACTAGGAGCCCCCAAAAGCGCAGATTGTTGCGCACGGGTTTCTTTTGATTATTTGGAGGTCTCTTGTGCTAAGGGGAGGGATTTCGTTGCACGAGCAAATTGCTCTGAAGACCTTGGCAAAGGGCCAGCTGTTCCATACAAACTCTGAGCCTTGTTGGCTGCCCACAGCAGACCATGCTTTGGTCTTTTTGGCAGCATTGGCTGCAAGAAAGGGTATCATCACCAAACTAGCCGCAGCTTACACAAAAACCTACGCAGGGCCTGTGCCGAGCCTACTTGGAATGCGGAAATCAGTCGTTGCTGGTTCGCAAAGAACGAGGTGCTACAATTTCAGCCAGTTTGCAGAGCTCTTTGATTGTCGCATGCACACATTTATTTCTCATTGATGCCTGATGGCCCGGTGTCGTTCCAAGCACTCTTGGCAAATCCCGCCGCAAGTAAGCTCCAGCAAAGGGGCAAAACCTTCGGCAACCAGAACAGTTTCACCGCGGCAAAGCCCTTCTGCAGTGATTTGGCTAAGTACCCGTTTCCCCTCTCCATGTAAACTCAGCTCTGGGATGCTCTGAGTCTGAAGACCTGGCAGTGCAGACTGCAATTTACAGGGGGGAGTTTATCGTCTTAAATGCCCGAGATATGCAGTGTTCACAACCTCTTCTTCGTGCAGGGCAAACACATCTTACTGCGGCGCGCACATGTGTGCAAAACAACTACTGTGTGCAAACAAGCGAAGGAAGGCCTACACTTAGCGGTGAGTGCTTTAAAGCAGGCTGAGGTCCTCGAAACCTGGGTCCGATCAACAGGCCCGCAGCTACTTGCATTCAGCCAGGTCACTAGCGTCGGTGCCAGTCACTTTGCCGTAGGAGCTTTTGCTGTAGGAGCTCTTCTGCGTCGGCGCTCGCTTTACTGAGCCCGATGCCTGAGGCTTTGAGCAGGGCTATGCAGGGCTCAGTGTCTCTCTGCCACGCGCAGGTCTCTCTCTCTCTCTCTCTCTTGCAATTGCCGGTGTCTGGCCTCTTCTTGTGTGCGTGGGTGGGTGGGTGTGTGTTGTGTGTGCTGTGTTGTGTGTGCTGTGTTGTGTGTGCTGTGTGCTGTGTGTGCGCGCGCGTGCGTGCGCATGTCAGTGCGTATGTGCATATATTTGCATATATGTGCATATATGTGCAAGTATGTGCAAGTGTGAACCTCCTGTTCATGGAGGGAGGGGTCACTCCTTGTGATCTGCTTGGTCCCACCCAACGAGAACACAAAGGGGGTGCAACATACAGTGGGACCGCCGTACAAGAAGAACCTTTTGGTTCAGAATTTGAGACTCTGCATCCCGGTCACCTCCCCCAAAACAAAGCTAGCCAATCAAGAATGCCAATATCGCTGACCGTCAAACAACATCTTCTTATCTCAAAGAGCCGCCACAGCTATTCAAGCCACTCATTCAGCATAGCTAGCTTCACGTGTCCACATACCTGTTTGGAAAAATACCTGCCTAAGAATGCGAGTCACACTGGCCAAGGCCTGACAGATTCTTATCCAGCGGTTGCACTGTACTTGACGATAAGCTTTTGCCTCCCCAGACGACCTTATGATATGCCGCTGCTTCATGCATCCCGATTTTTCCTGGCTTGATCACTGTGATCTGCATGTTGATGGATATTGATGCAACCCTGAAGCATTCGGCGCCTGCATCTGCGTTCAACTGAAGCGTATTGTGTGTGGACGGCAAGGTTTGTCAAACGCGACTTGAGGGTGCCAAATCTTCCCTTCCCAGGCTCATGTCTCAAACAAGCTAGCAAACCTGACATCTGCACCTTTGCAGCACTCCTGGCCGTGCGTTGACCTTTCTCAAGCCGTTTCTTGTGCGGCCAGCGGGCACTGGAGTTCAAAGAAGTGGCCCTGCGCCACTCGATGCACCTGCAGCACTCGAGGGCGTCAGCTAGCTCTGCCATTCCTGCAGCGTGAGAGTAGCTCCAAGCTGAGCACCCAAACATTCAAGCGTTCGGGGCATTTGCACTTGAAGCCGGGCAATGATTCTTAAACCTGCTCAAAGTAAACTCCCGGCCACAGAAGTTATTTGCTGTCAACATGCAGCTCAGCAGAAACCGCTTTGGATAGCGAACTCAATCATCTGGCTTTAAGCATTCATCGTTTAAATCCAAACTTTGGCCAATTGCTGCCCTTTTGCCAAAATAACTATGTAGCAGGAATGCACCTGTGTAAATTTTACAACAGGCAATTAACATGTTGGGGGGTGATTTGAGGCTGACACTAGTTGTCCTATCACTCCTCTGGACAGGTTTTGGCGATGCTGCATAGCTGTATGAGGACGCAACGAGGACTTTGCGCATGAGAAGGCTTTCTGTCTTGACATGGGTCTGCCCACCAACATCTATCTGTTGTTTTTGCGATTTTACGTCTGGGGCAAAGATGCTGCCTAGGTTTGAGTAGGAATGCAAACGCAACACGATTGTTTTTGCATTGCTGGTTCTCTAAGGTCTGCCCTGTCGCTGGACTAAAAATGCAGCATGGGCCCGCCACCTTGCTTGTTTTGCTGAGTGGAAGCCTGCACGCCAAAAGTTGTGACAAGGTGCGGGTGCATCGCTGAAAGAACAAGCATTGAATTGGCACTCTGCGCATTTCTGCACTTGTCTTTCTTGAAGGAGCTGGAAAGAACTGGAATGCTCATCTTGGGGCTATGCGGAACGAGCGAACGCAATTCTGGCAGAGCCAAGGCATATCAAATGCACCCTTTGCAACATACAATATTTCAACCTAAGCCTCTGGTTCAAAACAAAGGGGCTACGTGGAGGCTACGCAGAGGCTACGCAGAGGCTACACGAACTATGAGGCCGGCGTTCTGTTCAATTCCTATGAATGGCAGCACTTGCTCAATAGGTATTGAACGGAAGCTGCAACGGCTGCAATAGAACATGCATGTGTATCCCACAACGCTGGCGCCAAGCTAGCGCCACGAGTGTAGCAGTAGAAGCAGAGCAGCAGTAGCAGCAGCAGCAGCAGTAGCAGTAGCAGCAGCAGCAGCAGCAGCAGCAGTAGAAGTAGCAGTAGCAGTAGCAGTAGCAGTAGCAGTAGTAGTAGGAGTAGGAGTAGTAGTAGTGGTAGTAGTAGTAGTGCAGTGGTAGCAGTAGCGGTAGCAGTAGCGGTAGCAGTAGCGGTAGCAGTAGCGGTAGCAGTAGCGGTAGCAGCAGCGGTAGCAGTATCGCAGTAGTAGCGCAGTAGTAGGAGAGGAAATAATAGTAGAAGGAGTAGTAGTATTTGTAGTAGTAGTAGCAGTACTAGCAGTACTAGCAGTACTAGCAGTAGTAGCAGTGGTAGTAGTGGCAGTAACAGCAGGGGCAGGCAGTAGGCAGTAGCCACCTTGGCAATTGGGAGGTGGTTTTGACCGGGTCTTGAACGGGTCTTGAACGAACACCCGTAGGGGAGCTTCCGCGCGGCTACACGTTAGCCTCTGAAATCCAGTTTGGATCGCTCGCGCATTCTTCTCAACATTGCCCTCGTGGCAGAAGGACTTTTTCATTGAATTTGGATTCAGCCTTGAAATAAAAATACCTTTTGTTGCAGTACTACTGAAATTCTCAGAACGCCCGCGGAGCTGTCGGCGGGGTTCAAACTCTGTGCGCCGGAGCTTGTGTGAGGCAGGCGCTGAGCACACATACCTACATCTCCCGTGGTCACCGGAGTGCAAATTCTAAGGGTTGTTCGGGGGTGGGACGCTCTGTAACAAATCTTTTCTTGATGGACCAGGGGTTATTGAAAGACATGTATTGAACGAACCTGTCCAATACATTGAACAGGGTATTGAACGGCAGGGTACTCCTTCCTTCATCGCCATTTGGAGGCCAAGGCTCCAATGTCCCGTGCTAACTTTGCCCACGGATGGAAAAAGGTCGCATACAGGGCAGGTGACCGCCCAGCTCGGAAGGCCATGCTTCGGGCCATCAACGCTATGGCGGTCGCCTGCCAGGGGCCATGACAGAAATTAATCAATCAGGAGGAGGACTGATCTTGTTCCCCGCCTGCACGAGCTGCTCGAAATGTTTCGTGGAGACGTACTCTTCTTCAATCTTTGCTTCAAGTACTTTGCGGTCTTCCTCCTTGCAGCCTAGAAAAGCCCCACATCAGCAAACATCACACCGACCACGCCCTATCCGCAAGTGGCAGACTGTGAATGGCATGCAAAAAAGTGTGCCAGCGCATGTGCCGAGTAGCACTTGGTGTTGGCCAGTGAAAAGCCTCTAACGGCTTCCACGTAAAGGGGCAACGTCTCTTCCTTCACGAAGAGCTCGGTCTGCAAGTAGACTTTGTGAGGAGGCTTGTGAATCAAGACGCAGGCCAACTCATACACACACCACAATCTCTCAAGGTAAGTCCACGTGAAGAGCACGCACATGCTGTCGCACTTTTGGATGAACTGTTCCAGCAATTTAATGCTCAGGGCCTTCAACTCAGGGTGATCCTGAGCAATACAAGCCTTGTCAACCCAAAAGGTTGCGTCCGTCCATTCGCTCAAGCTCCGAAACGACTGAGCATAATCCTTGGCCATCACAGCAAGAGTAGTCGCTTTCACTTCGGCGTAGTCCACATCAGGGCCCATCTTGTCACTCCAGTCATCTGGCGCTGACCAACTGTGACTCACGAACACGTCTACAAACGACGCGTCCTGTGAGACCTCGTAATGTTTGGAGCTTCCTTGAGAAGTCTCCCAAAATTCAATGCAGCTCTCCAAATGCGGATCGCACCATGCGGCCGCCACACATTTGGCTGGCACAGCCCTCAACAGGATATCAACTGAACATACTTGCCGAAGCACCTGGTCGTATTTCCTCGATGCTTCTGAATCCAGCGCATCCAAACCTGGATTGCACTGGGGTATACAGGCTATTTGCTGAATGAGGCTGGAGAAGTCGATCATGGCCCAGTGAAGGGCAGCAACGGACATCCTTTTCGGCTTAGGCACCATTGGTAGCGGTGGGGGTTCATCGAGCGTTGTCCATGAAACTCTCCACGAAACTGCTCGAGACTCTTCTGCATCCTTGCGGAAATACCGAACGGTTGGCTGTGATGCCATGCTGACATCTAGCCCGAAGAGCAAACGACCAGCTTCCTTGACAACCCCAGCCACTACGCTTGAAAGGTTCGCCCGTGTGGACAGGTAGTGCAAGTCAAGAAAATTGCTAGTGCCGTCATAATTCACCTCCATGTACGGAAACCTCGAAAGGCAATCGCACCGGCATGCGCCAACTTGGCTTGCCAATCCAAGCAACCCACTGCAGCCACACTCATGAATCGTGGCATGTTAGCAACACCATCCAACATGCATCGTGAATGATTATTGCTGCGTGCAGTATGCCAACTGGCGACAATGACAATGACAGCAGCTCTTCCCTTCACAATTGGCTTCTCTGACGGCACTTGCAAAATAGCACCTTCTTTATCAGAACCAGAAACAATGCGTTACTCCAGGGGCTATGATTCCACCACCTCGAAGAATAATCAAAAGGTTCACACAACTCGCGAAGCGACATGTTCACTTTCCTCCAGAGACAGGATAGCTACATTCGGAAATTATCCTGACAGGAGGCATAGCATTTGGGTGATCGCGCTCCAGCTGGTTGTGCAAGCTGTTCACATTGGCCAGAAACGTTGGCAGCGTGCTACCCTGAGCCTCGCAAGAACACAAGAGGTCGACTGCAGTAGCTGTGGAATTTTCAAAATGGCAAATGGCTTGTTTCCATGCGCAGCGTTCTGCGCACTCCACAAAAGCGTTGATTTGGACTTTAACAAAACCTTCGCTAATCTTGCGCCAAACATTACCAGCCCTGATGCTGCGCAATCCCTCCCGGTCTGCGCACATGCCCATGCAACTGAAGAAAACAGGATTGCTAACTCCAGCTATGCTCGTCTGGGAAAGACTGCAGGAAGACTGCAGTCAAACAAAAAGATCTCGGGAATACTAAGCGGAGACCACAAAACAGCGGGAAAACGGCAGGAGGACTACAAGTCTGTGGGGGAAGTACAGGAAGATGCTGGAAAGTACTTACAACAGGAGTCACCCTGCGCACCAGTGCGCTAGAAGCATCAAGCAACGCCACCCTGAGCAACCGGCAGTGGCCTTTTCGAAGAGAGCAGCGCTTACATCGCGTCAACCAGGAAAGGTCTCTCGTGGTGCCTTGCGTGGGCCTTCAGCAAGGAAATTGATGGCCTCTAGAGCGTCGGCGGTGCGAGCCGGAGGCATTGAAGCAAGGAGTTGACGGGCTGGAATCACGAAAAACAACATGGTTGAAGCGACGCATTCAAAATAATTCAGCCTTCTGAGATGGCTATTCAATCAATTTCGTAGGTGCACGTTCTAGACATCCATTGAGGTCACCACGTGCGCTTAAAGCAGGGGAAACAACGTTCTTTTTGATACCATTGCACCATAATGCCACAGTTGAGGGAGAAACCAGGGGCGTTGTCAAGCACAGTCGTCAGCAACAAACCCACATTTCTTGCGGGATGACTGCTACTGTTGTTCAGCAATTGGGGCCTGAATAACTTAAACTCCAGCAGAGCCAAACACATGTAAATATACAGGGAGGCTAGAATATAGCATCGCCCTTCACAGATCCCAATCCTTCTCCACTTCCGTCTGCCCTCCCTGCCTTCAGGAAGCGAGCATTGCCGCTCCGTAGCACGAACAGGACGAAGTGCCGGCCAAAGGCCTCAAGCGCCTGCTCTGCGCTTAATTTTGTTTCCTCGCAGGTGGCACCCACCAGCGCAAGGGTCACCTCAGTGCCGAAATCTTCGCGATACAGAGAAACGGGGGGCGCCGAAGCGAGCGAAGCAACAATCGCATTGAAGGCAAGACACCGAATCTGGGTGAGCCACCACGTTCAAGACCAACTCTTCATTACACCCGGACCGTTGCAGAATGGCCTTCCATGTCTTTTCTCCAAAGGCCGTGAGGATGAGATCCTTTAGAATGATGTGGATGTGCCCGTACATGCCCTGAGTAAAAAGGGCTCCAAACTCAATGCACAGCTTTATCAAGTCAATCGAGTCAAGGGCATTAAAACTGCTCAGCACAACTTTCGCTGTGCCTCACTGCTTCTGGTCACCAGGGTGAGGCACCGTAGCTTTAAGGCTCCGGCCCAAAGCTTTGTAGATCAAAAACTTTGAGCGATCGTGCT